TATATATATATATATATATATATATATATCATGTTCGATTCATCTGTACTATATGGTTTGAATACACAGATGATAAAAGAACAAATCACAAATGCCCAAAATAAATAATGAGTTTTAGAAACAAACCTTATCTATTATCTAGATATGTGCTTAATCGATGAATTTTTTGAATATTTTGTTTGTTTTTCATAACAAATGAACTGAAAAATAAGGTTGGAGATGAAAAGCTCAGAGAGAGAGTTTGAGAGGAGAGAGAGTCTCATATCGACAAACATGAGAGAGGCTGAGGAGGAGAAAGAATGAAAAAAATAATTTTTTTAATTTAAAAATAAATGAAAAAATAAGGATATAATAGAAAAGATACCTTTATAAGGTTATATAACCTCGTTGTCTTTTTTTTTAAGGGAGAGTCATCTCTTGAAGTCAAAATAACATTTAAGGTCATTTTTTGCAATTACCCCTGTTTAAATTGATATCATTAATCAATTCTATGTAACAGTTTTCTCAACCTAAATTTTCATATTTTTCCAAATTTGCAATCGAATATAAAATGATTAAATTATATTTTTTCATTAAAATTTTTGTTTTAACGTTTTTCGTGTTCACTTAATCAATAAATTATTTAATAACAATTCTTTATTTTGGAATATACAAAATCTAAAGAAAGCATCATTTATTAGATCCGGTTAGTAGGACTCGTCTCAGATTACTTTTCACTTGCAGTAGACATTTCAAGACTTGATTCGATAAATCTATAAAAAATCTTCAAAAGAAAAATCTAATGACATCAAAGGGATCCTTATTCAACCAAACTGATATTTCACCTTAGATTAAACTTATTTTTTCTAATTTTTCTGGATTGAATTCATTTTATACTAAACTATGGTTACAAATGAGGTTGCAATGACTACAATATACGACTTATTTTTGTAAAATATATTGTGTAAAAGATAAGTAATAATTATGGTTGACATCTTTTTTGAGAAATTCACTTGATCGTCAAATCTTAGATTTTTCACCTTATTTATTCGCAACTCTATCTGAATTATTCTTCACCATCGGTTTGTCAGTTTGGACGGATACCGATTTAAACTCGTCCGGAACGGACAATCTTTCACAAGCTTCATCGTATAAAAAAGTCGTATTTTTTTAACTAGAATGGTTAGCATCAACATGAATAAATCGAACAGACAACATCATCGAGAGCACTCATTTAAAATCGCCATCAACCGAATTCATGACATCATATGCTAATAGAATAAGATATATGATCAGAAAGTCGAAGTTAAATGTATCGGTACTTGATTCGATCAAGAAGTGAGGAAGCTTTTGTTTTCCGAATGATTCCTCATCATTGATGAATTCATCCATGGAGAAGGAACACTCGAAAGAAATAGGCAATCCCAATGACTCGATTTGGAAGATTTGCGCTTTCAGATTGATGGTGAAACCACCGGTTTCGGAATTTGACTCTATATATTAACTCAGAGAAGGTATGACAGTGTAGGAAGTGTTCATGATTGCAGAATTAATCAATGATATTGAAATTTATAAGAACATGTTCATTCACACAAGTAATGAAAGATATATAGACATGCCTTTAAGATTTATCATACAAGAAAAACACAAGTAAAAATGTAAGAGTTTTAGATAATTTTTTCCACACAATCCATCTGGGTTTTATTATTTTATGGGTTAGGATCAATCAAACCCTAACAAAAATACACAAAAATTTATATGGGTTGGTCCAACTCATGAATCCAACTAAACCCAATAAACTCACTCAATCAATTATAATTAATTCATAATTAGGCAATTAATGATAGACATTAATGATATTTTATAAAATAAATTAAGTGAATTAAAATTATGAAAAATAAATCATAATAATTAAAATAAAATAAATCTATGTTTTCAATTTATCTTTCTATTAAAAATAAAATTTAATATAATTTTAAGTATCCAAATAATTTAATAAAAATTGTCAAACCTTATTAAATCTAAATAACTATCTATAAAATTTTATTTACCCAAATAATTTGATTAATTTGTCATTACGATTTATTTTGATATTTATTCATTTTGGTTAAAATTCGATTCGTCTCGATTCGAATCAATTCATTTTGATTCGGATCAATTAAAATTTGAATCGTTTCGATTCATATTCGATTCATTTCGATTTGCATCATTCACATTCGATTCGCATTAATTTCTCTCGATTCAAATTTCATTCGGATCAATTCAAACCAATTCATTCTAATTCAGATCGATTGGATCGGTTAATTACGATTCAAATTCGATTTATTTTGATTCACATTCGATTCGAATCGATTAAAATTCGATTCGAATCGATTAAAGTTCGATTCACATTCGATTCGTTTCGATTCACAAAAAATTATCTCGATTCACGTTCGATTCGTTTCGAATGGGATCAATTCATTCTAATTCGAATCGATCAGACTGATTCATTATGACTCAAATTCGATTCATTTTGATTTAGATTCGATTAAAATTTGATCCGGATTGATTAAAACTCGATTCGGATCCATTAAAATTCGATCCAGATCGATTAAAATTCAATCCGGATCGATTAAAATTCGATTTGGATCGGTTAAAATTCGATTCGGATCCATTTTAATTTTTCGATCCGAATTAATTAGTCCGATTTAGATTAAATTAATCCGTTTTGATTTGAAATCGATTTTTGTTATAAAATTTTTATTTTTAAAGAACTTTTCAATTTTTTCAATATTTTTATATTTGATTCGAATTTGGTTTTTATTTTTAATTAAATCTTTTTATATTCGATTTTATATTAAATTTAGTTATATATTATTTGTTTTGAATAATTCAATTTTGATTTTATCAATAGAATGAGAGAAGATTTATATTTATAATCATATAGGTTTAATTGAGTTAATTGGTTTTAAATTAATAGATTTACCTTTTTAATCCATAATCTTAATGGATTAAACCTATTAAACTCAATTAATTAACGTAACCTAAATAATTAATCCAAACATTTTTTTATTGGATTGGGTGGATTAACATAACCCATTTAACCCAACCTAATTGGCATCTCTAAATTGAAGTCAAAAACCACTTTAATTAAATGAACTATACATTAATAAAATTAAATGATGGAAGAATAACGTAAACATTATCAAAGAATTTTGAATCTCATGTAAATCATTTTTAAAATTCATAAATCAATCATTCTTCATTTATTTATTTTTTGGTGATTATGATAACAACTTTATTGTCAAATTTTATATTGAATAATTATATTGAAAAATATGTAACATGTGTCACCTTCTAATTAATTCATTATGAATAATTCGGATTTTTGTTCGTTACTTGTTGGTTTAGCTCGGAATTTATACGGTTCGGTTCGAGAACGATTTATTTGGTTCTATAAAAAATATAACAAATTAGAATCAAATATTATTCGATTTGATCCGGTTCAATTTCGATTAGAATCGGGTCGGAACTAAGTTCCGGTTCACACCTAATAGAATATTTGAATAGTGAGACCATAAAAAAAATGTAAATCCAAAAAAAAATCCTAAAGTAAAACTAATTTTCAATTTGTAACCTAAAAAATAAATTCCTCAATTTGCAAATGATGTCATTGGATTGTCTAAATTTGCAAAACGGTGCCAATTAAATATTTGACCAAACCTTGGCCGTCATTGTTAAATATAGTCTTATGTTGCATTCCACATCAGAATTAATTGGCACATCATCAATTTCTGAAATTAAATAACCGATAAATGAAATCGGTTTATCAAAAAAATCCCATGAATTTTTAAATATGTGTCTTGGAATTTTCTGGATCGTTCGATTCTATCATATAGTAGATTTGAACAACCTTATCGCAAAGGGGATGTAGCTCAGATGGTAGAGCGCTCGCTTAGCATGCGAGAGGTACGGGGATCGATACCCCGCATCTCCATTTCCTTTTTATTTTATTTTTTAAAAAATTTTATTTTCCGACATGATTCATTTGAGAGAGCAAATCAAAGCCACAAGATTCTTCAAGGAACTTTTTACATTCTCTGTCAAACTTTACATCACCCTGCACATACAAACAATTTCACAAAACAAAAACATCCTTCTTTCTTTTTTCACCATCAGAGACATGATGATGAGACATTTGCCAGCTTCCATGATACAAACCCAAGCAAAGATCTCTCACCTTCACCTTCACCAATCATGAAACAGGAGGGGATGGCCTTCCCGATGAGGTAAAAGCTTGTCAAGTCAGTCAGATTCTCTGAATATGTAATATGTGGTGGGAGGAGTCATGGTTCTTTTCCCTTGGGCTTTGGCGACTGACGTGAATTCCTATAAGGCGATCCTTGAGGAAGGTTCAAGCTAGATAAGCTCCTCAAAGGCTGTCCATTTCTCGACACAAACCCTCCCCCTTGAGTCCTGAACCCGTTCTTGACAACGGGCTGCATCGTTTGGAATGAATAAGACGAGCTGGCAAAGTCTTTGAGACCCGGTAATGGCTTCAAGGCTTCAACCACGTCGCTCATCTTGGGTCTAGCTTTCGAGTCCCGGCTAAGGCATTGGGCGGCGAGCTGTGTAGCCTTCTGGGCACCTTTGATCGAGAAGTGACCCTCTAACCGAGGATCTAACAACCGGTAGAAACGTTTCTTGTCTAGGAGATGCGGTCTCGCCCATTCAACCAAGTTTTGTTCCCCGTTTGGACGGTTTTTATCCATGGATCTTCTCCCAGTTAGTATTTCTAGTAACACTACTCCGAAGCTGTAAACGTCACTCTTGGATGTCAGGTGCCCTGGTACAGAAAGAAATTTGGTTTAGTCCAACACTCTCGCAACTGTTTAAAACCTTTGACACCAGAAGAAACACAAGCTGTTCGAGATCTCAGACAAAACGTAGACCAATTTCTTAAAGATCTATTTTTTTTATTCAATTTTCACATCCAGCGAAATGAGCAGCAATGCAGTGATAATGTAATAAAGAGAAGATGAAATTATGCCTGCCTCACCAGTCATTACATATTCGGGGGCAGCATAACCATAAGTTCCCATGACTCGGGTTGATACATGGGATTTTCCCTCGTCTGGAGCATCTTTTGCAAGACCGAAATCTGACAGTTTCGCATTATAGTCCTGAAACAGGAACATTTGCTTTCTAAAAAAAGGGCGGACAAAGGAAAAAAAAACTTGAAGCTTATTGAAATTTGACTTGCAGAAATACCGCATCTAGTAAGATATTCGACGTTTTGAAATCACGATATATGACTGGTTTTTCGGCTTCCTCGTGGAGAAAGGCAAGACCTTTTGCGGCACCAAGTGCGATTTTCATTCTGACAGCCCAAGGAAGGGGCAGTGTTCCTAAACGATAACCAAGAATTGTATTTAAACCATACGAGAACCCTGAGAATCCCAGAAAAAACCAAACAAAGTGAGCACGAGTTTGTTATTCACATACTCCTGAAAAGGTGGTTCTCTAAACTTCCCCGAGGCATAAACTCGTAGACCAGGAGCCTCTGATCGTCTTCAATGCAATATCCAACCAACTTAACTAGGTTGGAGTGTACAAGGTTCCCAAGGAAGTTAATCTCGGCCTGTCCAAAGCAAAGAAATGGAAGCACGATATTATAATCAATGCGATGCTAGTATATATATGTCACAAAAAGATGAGATATAGGATGGTCATACAAGCCATTCCTTGTGACCCTGAAGCCCATCTGTGTTCAGAGTTTTAACAGCCACTGTCAGACCGGTTCCGGGCTTGACAGGAGCAGTCCCATTCTCTTCTATCCATCCTTTAAAGACGCAACCAAACCCGCCCTCGCCCAGAAGAGACTCCGGTCTGAAATTCCTAGTGGCTAACTTGAGGTCGTTGAACATGAACTTCCTCAGTTGAGAAGAAATCTTCAGTTCCCCACTCATTAGAGGGGTCGAGCTCGTGCTCTCTGCATTGCTATTAGCCGTAGAGGGAACTGGTTGATCTTTTTGCTTCTCGTTAACAGGTTTGGCTTCTGCTGCTTTGAATTAAAAAAAAAACAAAACAAAACAAAAAGCCATTATTGGACCACTGAGAAAACTATATCGCTGATTCACCTGAACGTAAAGGCTCATTACAGAATTCCACCCACAAATTCGTGTTCAGTGTTCTTTTGTTTTCAGATAAAATAAGGCTGTTGTTCTAACAAAAATGATGAAGATTTTAACCATGGGAGAAGAAGAAGAAGAAGAAGTTTATGGTGGGTGATCAAAGAGGATCTTAGCATTGTCTTACATTCATCTATATTGAATCAAGCAAACAATTTTTTTTTTTTACATACGAAATCTACCGGCCCAGAAAAAATCCAATCTTTCAAGCAAAGGGAATTCCTGTTTCGAGTTCATGTCCTTGCGGCGAAACAAAAACCCAATCTCCAACATCCTAAAAGCCACAAACTTTGGAAAACAAAAGTCAAAATCTTTAAAAGGAAAGGCAAACCTCGACATATTCTAAACAAAATACACACATACGTATCAAGTAACATGTATATCTTGATAGAGAAAGAGATTACCAGTGATGGTGGTGGCACTCATTGAGCTGTCAACCTTTGATCTAGAAGAGATGCAACCGAACATGAACTTGATTCTGAACCAAAACCCACCTTCTCTCTCATCGAAATCTTTCCTATCATTCTTCTTCTTATTCAAGTTCTTCCATTTTTCAGATTTCTCCGCAACCTTTTCAGAGTCTGACGCTGTACCCATCTCTTAGAAAACCCTAATACTGATCAAAGCACCATACCCAATAGCAAAAACCACATAAGCCGAAGTGATTCCGATTGTTGGCGACCCACAAATGATAAATACAGTTTTAAGTGAATGGAGAGATCAAAATCAAATGGAAATTAGCTGTGAAAAACTTTTAGTCAAAAGGGGAATTTTTTGCGTGCGCGAGCTCGAGAGAGAGAAGCTCCGAAAGGGCAGCCTGAGGAGAGAGACGGAGGGAGAGGCAAAGTGGTCAGCAATGGGCAGTTCGGGCAGCTCTTAAAAGAGAAACCGGGCAGCTGGGGCAGCCGAAAAAGGACCCATACAAAAATAAATTTAAATTAAAAAGTTAAATAATGATAAGAAAACTAAATTAAAACTCGATAGACATTATTGTATTCATTTCAAAGTGTTAGGATATTTTAATTTAATGAGTGTGCTGATGTTTCATTTTTCTTTATTGCCACATCCTCCAAAGTTGAATTATTTTCCGTTGAAAAAAAATACCACACGCACTATTTTAAAAACACGTACAAATAATAATTACCTTAAAATATTAATGATTATGTAAATAAACTATATGTATGAACATATTTTTGGAGATAGATAATATGCAATTGTATGTCGTCATAACGATTCTACATTTGGTTTTCCCATTTTGTAAAATTTATTTAATTATTTGTAAATTTCATCTTTAAAAATTATTATTCCATTTCTATAGATTGTAATCTTCATTAAAAGATAGTTATTTTTAAATAACTCTAAATTTTATCATTTTTATTCTGAATTTTTTTATTAATATAATTTAAAATATATTTAATCCCATCTATATTAAATTTAGTTTAGGCATAGTTATATTTTATATATTTTAAGTAAAACTACATAATTATATATTACTTGTTAATTGGGACCGAAATATCTTATATTTAATTAGATATATAGAAATATAAATTCTTTTCATAATGGTGCCACGTGGAAAATTTTTGGGTGTTCACCTAACTAATAAACTGCAAGCAACCAACTTAGTGGAATTACATGTAAATGAGAAATGGACAATTTATTCATCTTTAGTGGGCAAAAATATAAATTTTTGGACAATTTACATATTTTGAATATGGTAAATGGTCGTTTTCATAAGCAAGATATACTTATACTTATTCATAGAAATATATATATATATACTTTATAAAACCTAGTAAATAAGTCTCTAAACGCAAATTTTAAAAAAATATGATAAAAAATCTGATATGATATTATTTTAATAAATAAATTAATTAATAAATTAATAATAAAAATAAAAATAACAATATAATAATAATAAATAAATAAATGATTGTGTATATATATGTATGAATGAATATGTATATGTATATATATGAATAACGATGTATATATATATATTATGTATATATGTGTCATATGTAGTATATGTATATATATTCATATATATATATATATATATATATACATACATATATACATCACGGCGTTTTAAAAAGTATATTCTGATAATATATATCTCATATTTGTATCATAACATTGTTTCAAGGTAAGGTTTTTTTTACAATAAATTGTAAATAATCAAGACCATTTTATTTCCAATACTCAAATTAAACCATATATATCGACAAATAAACTTGTTTGTCCATACGTTATTTATTTATTTATGGCCTATTAATTTATACATTTGCAAAATGCAGTTCATAAAAATACTTTCCCCCTATACCAACCGGTTCCTCTACGTACCGGTAGGATTGGATTTGACCGGTTATTGTTATAGAAAAAGGCTGATTTAGACCCTTTATCTTTTTTTTTAAAACGACCGAATCAAATGTAGATACACGATTCATCTATCTAGAATTCGATACTAATTGTGATGAATCTATCCCTCGAACGATCAAAATGATTTCCTCCCCACTTGGCTTTGCCCATTCTAGAAAGCTTTACGTATACCCGTATGATTACGGGTGTATATATATGTGTGCGCGTGTGTGTTATACATATAGATAATCTAGTTTCTTCTCGTTTGGTATTTTAATCAGCCATTATCTATTTTCATGCATAAACTATAAACTATAGTGGTAATGTAGAAAAAAGCGTATATAAATAATATCTAAATTTTTATAAAATTCTCAAATAAATATATGAACTATAAAATTTATAAATAAATAACTGTATTTTTCAAAACTTCCACATATATAAATATCTAAATTTTTAAAAATTTACCAAATAAATCTAAAATCTATTAACAACGTTAAATTTGTAATAGAATCCGTCGATAATTGATGATTTAGCCGTCAAAACATACTGTTTTATTTGGTATATTTTTAAAAATTAGGGCGTTTATGCGGAAGTTTTGAAAAGTTTAGATATTTATTTGGAAATTTTATAGTTGAGATATTTATTTAAAAATTTTATAAGAGTTTAAGTATTTATATGCGATTTTTCCTAATGTATTTTACGTGATATGTTAAGGGGTTTGAGAGTTTTCCATTTATATTTAAACATAAACTTAAAGATTAGCGGAAGTAATCTATTATGATTTATATATGAGAAAAAAAATAACAATCACTAATTATATATTTATCCATCAATTTTGATCAGAAAAAAATAGTTTTACAAAAAAATATAAAAAGTTAATAAAATATATAAATATTTATTCCTATATGTACGTACGTATACATAGTTTATGATTTTAATTGTATTGGAATATATTCGGCAGCTGATCGTTTTATTAAGAAGGCGTGTTGCAATGAAACACGTTGTTTGTATTGTTCCACCACTACAAAAAACTTAGCATAGCTTTCAAACTGTGTGGTAGGTAATTAAGTGGTGGTACCAACCATATTTCATTTTTATTATAATTCACACTAATCTCAAAATCGAATTTAAATTTCCCTTCTTACTGTTTAGTAATTTTGATCCGCAAATCCATGGCAGCAAAATTCGCTTTTATATTAGACTAAACATGGATACAATTTAATATCTTATAAAAATAATTAAGTTCTGTAAATTTTTCATAAAAATAATAACCATAATTTGATTTTTTTTATTGTTTCAATTTTCTCAACAATCATATAAATCTCAAATCAAATTTAAAATTATTAAGTTAAAATTCCCTTCCTAGTTTTAGTAATTTTTGATCCGCAAATCCCTGGCAACAATATTCGTATTATACAAGTTAATATCTAATAACTTATGTAAATTTCTCATACTAATAATAATAATAATAATTTTGAATTTTTTTCATTTCAGTTCATGAAATTGACGAGACAGAGACAGAAAAACACATGAGATCTTTCATTCGAGTGTTCCACGAAGATGATCAATCAGATCATCAGCGGAGGTCCTCGAGTTTTGAATGTTCTACGGTTTTCAGGCTCTAAGGGTAAAATCGTCAATTCCTTTGTATCCACGTGGCGGAGTCACAGAAACCAGGACTTGCATGCGGACTCAAAACTAGTCGATTAATCTCAGGATTCCAACACACAGGCGAGGGGTGATCGTTGTCGTATTCTTCAAAAATAAGAAATATGAAATAAAAATAAAAAGTCCACGTCACCATCATGCAGAATTTTCCTATTAGTAACGCGAATCAAAGTTTTTTTTTTGTGGATATTTTTGGATACACAGAGAAAATAAACGAGGCAGGTGTGCAATGAAACTGTACCCGTAAGGTACATAAAGAGTTTTGATTATAAAGTTGCCATCTTCAGACAGCGACTCTTTCTAGAGTTTTTTGTTTTCTAGTTTGGTAAGAAACTGAACCCAAGCCCTCTTTTCCTTCTCTTTCCTCCTCCCCCTCCTTTCTACTTCAGTTTCTGGCTTGAAAAGTTTCGATCTTGATCGACGAGCTTCGTGTTTCTTCATCTGGGTCTTTTTGTTCAGACCGGAACCGAGGATTGTCGCCATGGATGACAAGGGAGAGATGGATGCTGTGTTGAAAGAAGCTGTTGATTTGGTAATGGAAGCTTGGGGATGAATCTCGTGGCGAAATCTCTCTCGTCTTTTTCTTTTTTCTCTCTGATTTTTTCAGGGCTTTGATGTTTCAGGAGAATGTTCCCATGGCGGAGGTCTTCGAGACACTTCGCTGTGATACGAATGGTCTCTCGACAAAAGCTGCCGAACAACGTCTCGCCATTTTTGGGCACAACAAGCTTGAGGAGAAACAGGTTCCTCATGTCACGAGCTTCTTCTTTTTTTGTCTTTCTAACTTTCATAAGATGATACGAAGAAGATCGATTCTGGTTTTGTTTTCTCGGTTTAAAGCTAACTTGTGGAATCTTCCTCCGTTTTCCTGCGCTTAAAACATGGATCTCGTTGATCTTTTTTGCTTCGTCTTCTTTATATGGCAGGTTGGTGATTGATAGTTGGCCCTGATCACCAAAAGTTCATAGCTTTTTTCCTCAGAATTGTGTTTTGGGTTTACTCTTGTTGTAATTATCAGACCAAACCAGTTCACTGTGTAATAAATTTTTTTTCGCAGGAAAGCAAGTTCTTGAAGTTCTTGGGTTTCATGTGGAACCCTCTTTCATGGGTCATGGAAGCTGCAGCAATCATGGCTATTGCACTTGCCAATGGTGGAGTTAAGTTCACTCCATATCTTCCTCTCAAAACAATCTTGGCTCGGGTTCTCGAGTTGTTTTTTCTGCTGTCGAATTCTGATGAGAAATGTTCGAATATCGAAACAGGGGAAGCCTCCAGATTGGCAAGACTTTGTCGGGATCATCGTCTTGCTTCTGATCAACTCCACGATCAGTTTCATCGAAGAGAACAATGCTGGTAATGCCGCCGCTGCTCTGATGGCTCATCTGGCCCCGAAAACTAAGGTATTGACACGGGAAAAAAAAAAACCGTCTTACGGGTTTTTGTTTTGCCTGATTCAGGTTTCTTCCAGTTTGATCTTCATGTTCATGGTTCTTTCACTCAGGTTCTTCGAGATGGAAAGTGGATAGAGGAGGATGCATCTATTCTGGTTCCGGGCGATATAATCAGCATCAAACTCGGTGATATAATTCCAGCAGATGCTCGGTTGCTCGAAGGTGACCCTCTGAAAATCGATCAGGTCCCCCCTCTACTGACACAAACTCTCAGTCCCCAACTGATGGAAAATTTTACTGCCTGTTGAGGTTAAACTTAGAACCAGTTAGTTTTTTCTTTATGCAGTCTGCATTGACAGGAGAGTCTCTCCCTGTAACCAAAGGTTCCGGAGACAGTGTGTACTCTGGTTCAACCTGCAAACAAGGAGAGGTTAAAGCCGTGGTTATTGCAACCGGTGTTCACACCTTCTTCGGAAAGGCTGCTCACCTCGTGGACACGACAAATCAAGTTGGTCACTTCCAGAAAGTAAGGAAGATCCATTCCTTCAATCCATCCGGATTTCATACAGAAACATTGAAGTGTTTTGTCCGGTTGGTGTCTGGTTTTTCTTGCAGGTACTGACTGCAATAGGAAACTTCTGCATATGCTCTATTGCTGTGGGCATGGTAGTGGAGATTGTCGTCATGTACCCAATCCAGCAGCGTGGATACAGAGCTGGAATTGATAATTTGCTGGTTCTGTTGATCGGAGGAATTCCCATTGCCATGCCTACGGTTTTATCCGTGACAATGGCTATCGGGTCTCATCGTTTGTCTCAGCAGGTTTGGCTTAAGAGTTCATATGAACTTCTTCTTCTATGAGCTCGATGAACATTTCCCTGAGATATTCCATTCGCAGGGAGCTATCACAAAAAGAATGACAGCGATTGAAGAAATGGCGGGCATGGATGTCCTTTGCAGCGATAAAACCGGGACATTGACATTGAATAAGCTCACAGTTGACAAAAACCTCATTGAGGTAAACACTAGAAGACTCTGGTCTGATTTCTGAAACATAGTTTGACATTGTGTTCTTTTTCCTTGAACTGCAAACAGGTTTTTGCTAAAGGGGTGGACATAGATACTGTTATTCTAATGGCAGCTCGAGCATCCCGAGTCGAAAACCAGGACGCCATTGATACCGCTGTTGTTGGGATGTTAGCTGATCCAAAAGAGGTAATAAGATAAGATCATTATCTTCATTTCTGTAATCAAAATGATAATGTTTGTTACAAAATTTCTCCCCTTTGATCGCTCACAAGGCACGGGCCGGGATTCAAGAAGTTCATTTCCTTCCGTTCAACCCAACAGATAAACGAACAGCTCTAACATACCTCGATAGTGAAGGTAAAATGCATCGGGTCAGCAAAGGTGCACCTGAACAGGTAACAAATAACAAGGGGGTGATGATTTTATCTGCTTTCATTTTTGAGATTTCAAGAAAACAAGAATCTGCAGTCAAATTCCTTACCCATGATTCTGCATCTCAGATTCTGAATCTTGTCCATAATAAGTTCGAGATTGAACGTAGAGTTCACTCCACGATTGATAAATATGCAGAACGAGGCTTACGGTCTCTTGCAGTAGCATACCAGGTAAGAAATCCGTGACCTGTGTCTTCAAGAGCTTTAAGCTATGTCTGTTCCTGCATATTGGTTACTCATTAGCCACAAACAGGAAGTTCCCGAAGGAAAGAAAGAGAGTTCAGGAGGGCCATGGCAATTTATTGGGCTCATGCCTCTGTTTGATCCTCCTAGACATGACAGTGCCGAAACCATACGAAGGGCACTGAATCTCGGCGTAAATGTGAAGATGATCACAGGTATGTTTGTAGCATGTATGTACATATGTTTGTATGTATGCATGTGTGTATGTGTCGAATACCATTTCTGTCATTTCCTCGGTATGTTTTCCATGATTCTTACGTAAATATGCTGGCAGGTGATCAACTGGCTATAGCCAAGGAAACAGGACGCCGTCTTGGGATGGGGACAAACATGTATCCTGCAGCAGCTTTGTTAGGACAGCACAAAGATGAGTCTATTGTCGCTTTACCTGTCGATGAGTTAATCGAGAAAGCTGACGGGTTTGCCGGTGTCTTCCCAGGTATATTCCCTTCGAAATTCTGTTTTTTCCTTCCAGCTACGAGCTCTGTTCCTCTGGTTGATCCAGAGTCTTTCCATCGATGTAATTGCAGAGCACAAGTATGAGATTGTGAAACGGTTGCAAGCTCGGAAACACATATGTGGAATGACGGGTGATGGGGTGAACGATGCTCCAGCGCTCAAGAAAGCGGATATAGGGATAGCTGTTGATGATGCAACTGATGCTGCTCGTAGCGCTTCTGATATTGTCCTGACAGAACCTGGTCTCAGCGTTATAATCAGCGCTGTCCTAACAAGCCGAGCAATTTTCCAGAGGATGAAGAATTACACAGTAATTCCCTTCTACCTCTCTCTGTAACAGTGTAACCGAACAAGTTAATCGTTTTCTTCTTTATCTACTCAGCTAAAGTTTGTGAATTTCTTGGTTATCTTGCTGCAGATATATGCAGTCTCCATTACCATCCGTATTGTGGTGAGTTCTCTGTCTAGTTCTTGTTTCATAACCGAGTTTTCATCGACTCCATTACCATCTGTATCTTCATTGACTCTCGTGGCAGCTCGGTTTCATGTTACTAGCTCTCATATGGCAGTTTGATTTCCCACCCTTCATGGTGCTAATCATCGCTATCCTCAATGATGGTCTGTACTTTTCTGAATCTCTGAAACAGAAACCCAGATCAAACCTCTCAACATAACGTTGTGGGTTGCAAATACTTCAGCTTATTCTTTAGCTTTTCTTGGTGTTTGTGGTGAGGCAGGTACCATCATGACAATCTCGAAGGATCGGGTGAAACCTTCTCCTCAACCAGACAGCTGGAAGTTGGCTGAAATATTCACCACTGGTATTGTTCTAGGCGGATACCTGGCAATGATGACTGTCATCTTCTTCTGGGCCGCCTACAAAACCGATTTCTTTCCTGTAAGTTTAAGCCAAGATTACCCGAAAACTAAATCACTCAACGGTTATGGTAATGCTGAAAGCTTTACATCTCAGAGAACGTTTAATGTGACGAGTCTTCACAAGAAGGATGTGAAGAATTTCAAGAAACTTGCCTCTGCAATATACCTGCAAGTCAGCACGATCAGCCAAGCACTGATATTTGTGACGAGATCCCGTGGTTGGTCTTTTGCTGAGCGTCCCGGGATATTCCTCATGGCGGCCTTTATCGTAGCCCAGCTGGTAAGCAAAAAGAAAGAAAGAAAAGAGCAAACCTTTCTTCATTTTTGCATCATCAAGGCAAAATCCATGTGACTTTTCTGTTCACGATCCTTCTGCAAACAGGTCGCAACTTTGATTGCTGTCTATGCCAACTGGGGTTTTGCCTTCATCGAAGGAATCGGGTGGCGATGGGCTGGTGTTGTGTGGCTATACAACTTGATCTTCTACTTTCCTCTTGATCCCTTGAAGTTCTTTATCCGTTACGCTCTGAGCGGAAGAGCCTGGGATCTTGTCATAGAACAAAGGGTAAGAACGGCTATAGATAACAGAGAAAAACTAAAACATTTACTGTACTTAATGAACTTGTTGGATCATTTGTTGCTGAAAGTTGAAATCTTTTACCAGATTGCGTTCACAAGGAAGAAGGATTTCGGGAAGGAAGAGCG